GAGTTTTGGGATGTTCGTCATTTTAATCTGATGAATAGTAATGTTTGTTTAGTAACTGGCCCTCTGCTTCCTGTCAGTGTTCCAAAAGTGGCCCAGAGGCAGACTTAGCAAGTAGAGTATTGAGGACCTACAGTCTACATCAGGGATCGCCAACTACATTTGTCCAAGGGCCAAAATGTATCCAATAGACACTATCGCGGTCCAGCGATTTTTATATAGTCCACAATGCTAGTGGAGCACACTCAGGTACTGCATACCGCATAAAGCTTAGCAGACTATTCACGCTAAGGAAGGATCACTTCTAGGCAGGGTTGGGAGGGTTACTTTGTAAATGTAATCAGTTACTGAATACTGAATACATGCTCTGAAAGTAATCAGAATACAGTTACAGTTACGTGTCTTAAAAATGACGTATTCAGACAGATTACTTTTAGAATACTTTTGGAACACTTTCTTTTGCCATAACAGATGGGTATGTTTTGGTGAACAGGAGACACTTGTTTTACTGTTTTAATGGCTTATCAAGAACTCAAACACAACATCTTGGTGTTCATTCTGGACAGCTCCCTCTCATCTGCACCCCACATAAAAAACATCACCCGGACTGCATTCTTTGTACTGTCTTAAAACCTTTCCTTGGAATATGTTATGAATTGTAAGGTGTCCTTCGGTGCTTTGAAAGGCGCCCCTAAATAGAATGAATTATCATTATTTATTATCTGAAACGATGTAATAACTTTTAAAACTTTTTCCAGTCACTTGCTCCATGCATTCAGCAGCAGCAGGCCATTCACTTTGATTTGATCCCGTTATAAATGTCATCATTTCGACAATAAAGAAATGCTACATAAACGTTATCTTGCACATTTTATCTAACCATCTCCGTTTCTAACTTTCAATATATTTTAAAAGAGATCTCTCTCTCTCTCTAGGGTTAGGGTTAGGGTAATGTTGTGAATCGAGTGGCCTGTGTTCATCGTCCATAACATACGCCTGCCCATACCATAACCCCACCACCACCATGGGCCACTCGATTCACAACATTACCCTAACCCTAACCCCAATCCTAACCCTCACACCAGATACTGACCGCTTTTCGGACCCCCCAGACCCCCCAAATAAAGCAAAAATGCACGTTTCAGAGTGGCCTTTTATTGTGGCCAGCCAAAGGCACACCTGTGCAATAATCATGCTGTCTAATCAGCATCTTGATATGCCACACCTGTGAGGTGGGATGGATTATCTTGGCAAAGGAGAAGTGCTCACTATCACAGATTTTTTCAGATTTGTGAACAACATTTGAGAGAAATGGTTATTTTGTGTATGTAGAAAATGTTTTAGATCTTTGAGTTCATCTCATGAAAAATGGGAGCAAAAACAAAAGTGTTGCATTTATATTTTTCTTCAGAGTAGTTAGACCTCTGTCTGTTAAAACCCAGTACAAAGTGCGTATCATTGGATTCATTACCAGTATCTTCCATGACTGAAATATTAAAACTCCACTTTGTGTTTCAGGGCCTGCTGGTTGCTATTTTGTACTGCTTCATCAACAAAGAGGTGAGACAGATGTGCTTTCACGTCAAGATGTACCTTAATGTAATCTCTGCTATTGTTGGAGTTCTTCCCTTTCTCTTTTAGAGCTGATAAACTAGACATTTTACATCATCAGCATTTCTGTTTCCAGACTTTATCGTTCCTTGGTGTATCTCTAAATCTTAATAATCCACTTTATCCTTTTGTCTACAACGTGCGACAGACACAACATCTTATGTCAGCTCAGCTCTACACCTTTAAATATAATGTTACGCAAGACAAATCCATCGGATGAAGTGCTTGGTGTCTTATTTAATCTTCATCACAAATGTTCATTCGTCTGTCCGCTGTTTTCCCATCCTGCAGGTGCAGTCAGAGATGCTAAAAAATTGGAAGAGGTGGAAGCTGGGTAAAGACATTGACGAGGAGTACCGCCACACCCACAGCCACACGCCGCACCTCAAGAGCGGCAGCATTGCCACTGGCAATCCGCCCTATCTCCACGACAACAACGCCAGCGACCCCGGCGGTGACTCGCCTCGTCTCAACAAAGCTGAGCCCTCCTGCTCAGCCGCACCCGAGGAGAACCGCAGACTAGTGGTTTCCTATAGCAACGGCATGGGGAAAGGCGGGACCGCAAAGAGCAGACACACCCTGCAGTTCTCTTTCCTGCCACATCGGGGCGCCAGCAGTCATGTGAGCACGGCCACAGAGGAGGCGTGTCTGGAGGAGAAGCTGCACACAAACACTGTTGAAGGGGAGGAGACTAATGTCTGAGGGCGGCCGGCCTGCTGTAAAGACCTCGTCACGAAGAATAAAACTGTGCTTATAGATGTTTCGGATCAGTGTTTAACATGTGCAACAAGGCAGCCTGAGTGGGAAGAGAAAGAGAACCCCAAAGGTCACAATGTTTTAACAAGCCTGCTGCAAATTAATATTTAATGTTTTTGGGACCTTAAGCTAATAAGAACGATTCACTTCAGATTCAATGCACTCAAAATAAGCTTTCTAATGGTGACTAGAGTGTGTGTGTGTGTGTGTGTGTGTGTGTTTGTGTGTGTGTTTGTGCGTGTGTGTTTGCGTGCGTGCGTGCATGTACATATGGAGGACTCCCAATAGGACCCTGCTCACATCACTCGTATGTCATGAGTCATGTGTACTGATGTTGTCGTCGTGAGTCACACTTGTGTTGTATGAAAGGTTCCAGCAATGGATGCTCATCTGTGGTACTCTTCTACAAAAAAATCTCAAAAGTGCCAAGAAAAAACATTTATTTTTGTTCTTTTGGTTTCATGATACTGAATGTGACTTCAACATGCATGACTCGTGATGTCCTGTTTGTAACAGGATGAAGACAGAACTATTACCGACTATTGATGTGTTGAGGAAGAAGTTGCTTTGATCTTTAGAGAGACTTGAATGTTTAAGTCATTCTGGTTTTAAATGACCATGCTAAACAAGAAAATAATAATACATTTACATCAATTGGGTAAAGCAGGTATCCTTCATGCACATTCCTGCCCTCCCTTCTGTGTTTATAATAACCCATTTTCTTTCTTTTTAAACTGAGTTTTGTGGATGAATGTATAAGGACAATGGAGAATTATGGGTGATATTTAAGTGTATATATGTAATTAAAGAACATGCCACCAGAACCTGCTTTTCAGTCAAACAGTATTCTGTCGAATGGAGGCAAACAGAACATGAAGTGCTTTTTTACACAATGGAAAATAGTCCTATTTCAATAAAAGAAGGTTCTCCATTTCAAAATCCACATTAACAAAACATGACTCACTTGAAAATGTGGAATCGGATCTGGATTTAATTCTTGGTATTATCCATTTTTCAAGTTCACCGAATCAATCACTGAAAACCAACAAGGATTTTCACAAAGATAGTAAACAAGCACTCAATTGAAGTGTAAGAGAGCGAACTGTACATATTAAACTAACTTTAATAAAAGTTAATACCGGTATTATAGAGTCAAGGACGTGTTGGTGGAGGGATGTGTTGTTGTTCTGTGCTTTCGCTTGCAGTCCAGGTGACAGAAAAGAATAAACATGAGTTATTACGTTGAGAAAGACACAAACATGATTGTACTTGTCCTTTACTTTCCATAGCCTATTGCAATTGTCAGGACGGGTTCCAAAAAAGCCAAATTGTTGTGTCTCATATGTCTGTGGATCCAATTAAACTGAATTCTGTCAGCAAAAAAGTGTCAGGAAGTGTTGTCAATGTAACATGATGGAGAGACATGAGTGTCATTCCTCCGTAGTTATGCAGTGAGTCTGCCAGTCACTTGCTGACGTACTTTTGACAACAAAAACCCGACTATGTTTCAACATTGGCTGAAATATTGAATAAAAATAGGTGTGCTCATGCATAGGGCAGTTATTCCCCATCATTGTTGACTGCAAAGCCAATCAGTGGACTTACTATCAATCAAGATACGTGATTCATTGGAGATGCAACATGAAATTATAATGACTGCTCTGCGTGTTATTGCGCAGAGGGTAACTAGTTGTTGGCGGATAAATTATGTATCGGTTGCACATACATGTCCAATAATGTATGTTTTTGTACGGGTGTTCTTGTGAGTGATTGATCTTGTAATCTCTCTGAAAACGCCTCCCTCCCCGTGCCTGTATTAACATATAACAGAGAACATAAACCACTGGAGGTGGCTCACTGCGTGGCTGTCAAATAAGCCAGCAGAGGATATTGCATGATTATTTATCATATCACAATGTCTCTCATGGGAATCGCCTGAATTTCACCCTATGTAAAGACTAGAATGAGAATGCATGGGAGGATTTTGAAAGTAAGGGTTTGGCTTTGGCTCTGTATGTATTGCACATTTTCCTTTCTTAAAAACATCCATTGCCATTTTCAAATTAGGATTTGTTTTATATGAATAAATGCATTCAAGATTCATGATAGATTATTTATAACGTTAATCTTGGATTCAATTATGGAGTCTTTGCTATTACTGCATTCATTCTCTTTTGAGTTAGGGCCCATCGCCTTCACCAAACTAAATGGGAAATTAAATATAGATAGTTAGGATAAATAAATACACCGATATAAAAAAATGAATAAAACGTTATGAGTTTTTTTAAGCTGTGAGTATTGAGAGAGAGATCAGACTTTCTCTCAATACTGACTTGAAAAGCATGCCAGATAAACGATTTCCTATTTGCAAAATAACTTTATCCTCTGTCAAATGTATGATTAATAATGCCTAAATAGATAGTTTGACCATTTTGCAACAGAAACAATTAGAAGTTGGTTGAAGTCTTTGCTCTATTATCTTAATGAATTACCGTATAGCTAAATAGGATTTATTCTTCTGTGTTTATTCATCTCTTCTTATGAGAACTCTTTCCAGCTAATCCTGCTAGGTGTAGGCTGTGATGTTAATGAATGTGCGCTCAGCTGTCGTTCCATCTCCCGCTGTTTATTCGAAGCAAATTTGCACAACCAATAGCATTAAGTAACCTAGGTAGATTTGTATTAATGTTAAAATGTGTTTTTAATATGTTTTAATCAACTAACCATCTGATAGAAAGACTGAAATACCAATTGTTGACCTTAATTAGATAATTGTATGCCTCTTGGATGATAGGGCCACAGAATACAAGCTAACCTTAATAAAGAAGTATTTTGACTGCTCATATCGTGTTCTTATGTGTGACTATTATTGATGACCTTAAATGCACATCCCAAGTTAGTTAGTATTTCTAAGTATTGAGTAAATATTCTTAAGCATCACAATCTTGACCAGTCTGTTAGGAAATCTGCTTTTACTAAAACCTTGTTGGTATTTTCCCAACCTCACAAAGAAGATCTATTACCAAAAGAGAAACAATCTTTGACTGATTGCTTAATGAGCAACCAGAGTCTCATTACTTAAAGCTCAGACCAATAAATGTTACGGTTTGGGAAAGGTAGGACCCAAAAACAGACTACAAAAAAGGTAAGTTGGTCTAGAAAACAAAAGAGAGCTTTATTTTAAAAGCTGATGGCAAAAAGATGGCAAAAAACACAAAGGAAGCACAAGGATGATACAATACCAAAAAGCTGACGGTGACTGATATGGAGGGAGACAGGAAAAAACAAACAATGAACCGACAGGGGAACACAGGGAAAGAAAAGACTAAATACAGAGAGGGGTAATCACGGGACAAGAAACAGCTGGGCAGGGGAGGTAGAAACACAAGGGCAAAAGGTGAACACAATTACCCCCAGTTTCCACTGGGTCCGTCTGCGCCGTGCTGCGCCACGTCACGGCTGCGCCGCGGTTTTGGTCTAGCGCCATAACCCACCGGACGCGTCCCAGAAGAGTTTCAGAAGCGTAGCGTCGTGCGTGCAGGCTCGCAGTTTTGTTATTGATTCGGGTTTAATTTGGGTATTAATTAACTTTAAAGCATTAATATGTAGTTGCTACCTTCCACTCCACAAACTGCAGCGACTAAAAACCAGGCCTTGTCCTTTCTGATGTTGTCCTTGTAGTAAGCATTGGTTACATCATATAAAATAGTGTGTTTTTCCACTTCCATGATGAAAACCTCGTCGTCCATTGTGCGTATCGTAGTGGAGGTGTTGTGATGAAGGAGGGGGGTCTGCTAAATTAGTATATGTGGGGGATGGGCCTTGCCCGGATGCTCACCTTTCCACTTCGTGCGAGGGGGGTCTGCCTGCCCAACCTTACGTTACGGCTGCGCCGCGGCAAAAATAGGATTCATCCTAATTTTAGAGAAGCGCTGCGCTTCTAGCCGCTTCTGGGACGCTTCTGGGACGCGTCTGAGCCGTAACACGGCGCGTGTGGTGGAATAGCACCCATTGACTAGAGTGGCCGCGATCCGTACGACCGCCGCGGCGCAGCCATAACGCGGAGCAGCGCGGCGCAGACGGACCCGGTAGAAACTGGGGGTTAGGCCTTGGTAGGCCAGGCTCACTTTATGCTGTGTTTCCATTACAGTTTAGTAGCTGGGGCAGTAACTATAGTAAAGCAGTGTAGGCGGAGCCGTGACGTCATCTTCAATGCGAACCACAAAACCAAACATCAACTGTTAGCTGTTAGCCATCAGAGCTCACAGCTCCTCATATCTGTTCAGAAACTAGACAAAAGTTAAACAGCTGCTTTATAGTATAAGTTCCCTGAATCCCTGCAACTTCTGAAGGCAGTAAGAATGATAAACCTGCAGCTTCTGAGAGGTGCTTCGCCAGGGCCGTTTAGGCACAGCTAGCGACTGTTAGCTTTATTTGATCTGCTAAATAAGAGAGCTGCTGCTGCAGTATAACCATCAGAACTCTACACACATCAGATGCCCGGTAGGTGGGTAAATTGACCCACCCCTTTTATTTAGGGAACTGTCCACATTTGATATCATGTGACCATCGATTCAGGAAGCACCCATCATTTATATTTGGCTGTATGGAGCACATGGTAAAGTGGTAAATGGGTTTTTTTTCACAATAAACCATGTTCTGCTTGTCAAAGTAAATTTTCAACATGTCAGGTATAATTACTCTTCTGTCAAAGCAAATGCACCTATTTAACAAGATGTAAAACCCTGTGAATTCTTTAGCTAAAGATGAGCATGAAGGACTAAACTAGACAGTTTCTTTCCAAAAAGAGGCTGTGGGGCAAAGTGAGCCACATGCTTGGGGGTTAAACTGAGCCAGTGGTTCAACCTAACACCCCATGAGGCACTGAAGGTAAGTCTCTGTAGTATGAAATGCTATTTCAATGTAGTTTTACATAACTGATTTGTTTTTTTATCTTTTAAACATTACATGTAACTTGTTAGACGCTTTTATCCAAAGCGACTTACATACTCAATACTGTGGGCAATCCCCACAGGAGCAATTTGGGTTGAAGTGTCTTGCCCAGGGACACAACGACATGCTGACAGCAGTGGGGTTTGAACCTGTGACCCCCCCGATCCAGGGGCGGACTGGCCATTGGGAATACCGGGAGTTTTCCCGGTGGGCCCACATTTGTAAATGTTCCGGCCACTCCCTTTTTTCTTTTTTTTTCAGGGGGTTGGCAGGGAAACGGGGGTTCAGGAGGAGTGGCTGTACCCGTAGGACAAAAAAGGGGGAAGTGACGTCTGACTCAGAGGTCGCGCGGCTGTGGCGTAGAACGTGTTGACCACATTCTGTTACTGAGTTTAGGCTAGTTAGCTAGCAGGTTTATTGTTTTGGGTGCAGTCACTTTTGCCTCAAATCAATCAAATAATATATGTATGTCAATAAATATATGCTGTAACTATTTTGCTCTAGGCAACTCAAGGGCTCAGGTAATGTGATTACTATATGAATAATGGTCCTAAATAACATAAAATGCATAGGGTTTTTTGTTAAGAAACATACTTTCGTCGCCGGCCGATACATGCTGCGCATTAAGTGGGCCTGTCTGTCAATTAATCCCCGGGCCACTTTTTCCCCCCAGTCCGCCCCTGCCCTGATCCCAACACCAAGGCTCTATCCACTGCGCCACACGCCTCCCTAAACATTTTAGAAAAGCATCACGGCAAGAAAGAGAAAGAGTGAGGGAGGTGGAGAGAGAGCCACAGATGGAGAGGCTGGAGAATCCATCAGAGCAGTGGCAAAATACAGAAACATTGACAGGCTGCATAGAGATATAAACAGCAAGGTGGACAGGAAGTGAAAACAGGAGGTACAGAGGAACAGCAGAGGAAAGAGGGTCTTCACGCAGGAGAGAGAAGAGGCTTCAGACCAGATCAAAACAAATTTAACCATGAGATGTCGCTTCATTCACAAATACACAAAGACAACTGGGTGTTGTAGACCTTAGTTTGTTTACCATGTTTGCAGCTCTGCATTTGTGTTTGCTGAATACTGTAGCATTTAATCACTTATTTGTTATGGTTTTCACAGGCTATTATAATGAAAAAACATCAATATTTTAGGACAAATAAAGTATATCTAATCTTATTATCTTAATTGTAATTCAATAATCATAATAATAATGTAAATGTTTACACTTCTTTATTTGTTATGATCATACTTTTACCTTTACAATAGTTTGCTTGATGCAGTATATTTTTTGTAATATTGTTGTGGTGTTTTTACACAGTACAGTAGATCGAAGTAAATCAACTTATACATTAAGATAAGATAAAATGGACCTTTATTAATCCCCGTGGGGAAATTCTGTAGTTCAAACAGCAACAGGGTGAGAGTGAAAAACAGGACAGCACAGATTCATACAGATTAATACAATCTTAAAAATAAGATCAGCGATACAAATAATA